AGCTCTTCAGCTCAAGGCTAGCGCTCTACCACTTGAGCCACAGCGCCACTTCCGGCTTTTTTCTTTTTGCTTGTGTGGTGCTGAGGAATCGAACCCAGGGCCTTAGGCATGCAAGGCAAGCGCACTACCACTGAGCCACCTTCCCAGCCCCAAGAGAAACAAATTTTTAAAATGCCACCAATAGCCGGGAGCCAGTGGCTTATACCTGTAATCATAGCTACTCAGGAGCCTGAGATCTGAGGATCACAGTTCAAAGCCAGCTTGGCAGGAAAGTCCCTGAGATTCTTTTTTTTTTTTTTTTTTAACTCAGGACCTAGGTGCTGTCCCTGAGCTCTTCAGCTCAAGACTAGCACTCTACCACTTGAGCCACGGCGCCACTTCCAGCTTTTTTCTTTTTGCTTATGTGGTGCTGAGGAATCAAACCCAGGACCTCAGGCATGCAAAGCAAGCACTCTACCACTGAGCCACCTTCCCAGCCCTACCTTGAGGCCCTTATCTCCAATAAACCACCAGAAAACCGGAAGTGTTGCTGTGGCTCAAGCAGTAGAGTGCTTGCCTTGAGCTGAAGAGCGCAAGGACAGTGCCCAAGCCCACAGTTCAAGCCCCATGACTGACCAGAAAATAAAAAATGCCACCAATACCTAAAGTAATTCTTAGTGAGAAGTTAGAACTGAAGAGATGGAGTTATATATTCTTATTCTCAGGAACCTTTCCTGCTTATGTGAAACACAAACAGATGTATAAAATACCCTAATGGTCTCTAAATCTAGACAGTATTTCTGTTCTTCATCTAGTGGTTGAGAAGCAAAGCAGCAAAATATATAAATTATTTTCATAAATTAAAAGAAAAACAACAGCTAGTCCCTTATGACCAAACCTCGAGGGTACTAAACCAGATGTTAAGTACTCAGCTTAAAACTAACAGTGTATAGTTGAATAATTTAAGTAATAAATTCCTTGAGAAAAAAAATATGAAACATAAAAACATTTTTTACCATCGTAAAATGTCAGTACTACTTTGTTAATACATTATGGAGAAAGGCATATATTCTGCATCAACAGTTCCTGCTTTGATATTTTAAAAATCTCGTAACAGATATAATGGGAGAAAATGTCTTTACTTTTACATTAAGGGATCTTGAGGTCTCATTAATGTTTTTGTCTGTCTTTCTATATCTCATTGTAGATGTCCAAGAAATGGAGTACAGGACTAAGACGTGTCAGAAGAGTCCCTATGATTGTCTGTCTGAAGTAGGAGTCATGAATAGTAACACAGGGGAGGAAAATGTGAAATTAATAACAACTCTTAATTTGAGGTCAAAACCTAAGTCAGAGATGATTAGGAATAATGGGAACTCCTTAGGGATAAGGACAGAGGAGTTCAGGCAGTGTCAGAACATGCTTCTCTATGGTGAACCTGCTGAGATGTGTGCTGCTTATAGTCCCGGAGTATCTCCTGTAGTTAAAGAATCAAACCAACGTGGACATTCTTTCACCCGGAAAGCACACCTTACTGTCCATCAGACAACACACACAGGAGAGAAACCTCATGAATGTAACCTGTGTGGAAAGTCTTTTGCCCGGAAGGAACACCTTTCTGTCCATCAGAAAACGCACACAAGAGAGAAACCTTATGAATGTAACGTGTGTGGAAAGTCTTTCATCCGGAAGGCAAACCTTACTTTTCATCAGACAACTCACACAGGAAAGAAACTTTATGAATGTAACATGTGTGGAAAATCTTTTCACTTGAAGGCATACGTTATTGTTCACGAGAGGACACACACAGGGGAGAAACCTTATGAATGTAATGTGTGTGGAAAGTGTTTCACCCAGAAGTCACAACTTACTGTCCATCAGACAACACACAGAGGAGAGAAACCTTATGAATGTAATGTGTGTAGAAAGTCTTTCACCCGGAAGGCACACCTTACTGTCCATCAGACAACACATACAGGAGAGAGACCTTATGAATGTAATGTGTGTGGAAAGTCTTTCACCCAGAAAATATGCCTTACTGTCCATGAGAGAATACACACAGGAGAGAAACCTTATGAATGTAATGTATGTAGAAAGTCTTTCACCATGAAGGCACACCTTACTGCCCATCAGGCAACTCATACAGGAGAGCGACCTTATGAATGTAGTAGGTGTGGAAAGTCTTTCACCCAGAAAATAAGCCTTAGTGTCCATGAGAGAATACACACGGGAGACAAACCTTATGGATGTAGCTGGTGTGGAAAGTCTTTCATCCGGAAGGCAGACCTTAAATCACATCAGAGAAGACACACAGGAGAGAAACCTTATGAATGTATGGAGTGTGGAAAGTCTTTCAGGTGGAAAGCAGGACTTAACATCCATCAGAGAATGCACACAGGAGACAAACGTTATGAATGTAGTAGTTGTGGAAAGTCTTTCATCCAGAAGACACACCTGAAAACACATCAGAGAAAACACACAGGAGAGAAACCTTATGAATGTATGAAGTGTGGAAAGTCTTTCATATGGAAGGCACGCCTTAATATCCATCAGAGAACACACACAGGGGTGAAACCTTTGGGATGTAACCTGTGTGGAAAGTCCTTTGCCCAGAAGGCACACCTTAACATCCATCAGAGAACACACAGGAGAGAAACCTTATGAATGTATCAGCTGTGGAAAGTCTTTCACCAGGAAGGAATACCTTATTGCCCATCAGAGAAACCCTTTGAATGCAACAGCTGTGGAAAGTCATTCGCCCAGAGGGGACAGCTTTCTGTCCATCAGGAAACACACAGGAGTGAAACCTTGTGAATGTAACAGCTGTGGAAAGAGTTTCACACAGAAGTCAACCCTCATTTTTCATCAGAGAGCGCAACACAGGAGAGAAGCCTTATGAATGCAACAAATGTGGAAAGAACCATCCACAGGAGGCCACAGCCTAGCATATAAGAAAATTCACCCAAATGAGAACCCTCTGGAATGTAACAAGTGGGGAAAGTCTTTCATCTGGAAGAAAAGTCAGTTTGCAATCGAGAACCCACACAGGATACAAACCTTATCAAGGTAGCAAATGTGGAGTCCTTCAACCAGAAGGCACAGCTCAGGGTTCATCATTGAACACACACACACACACACACACACACACGAGAGAAATCATAGGAATGAAAAACCTGTGGAAAGGTTTTCAAGAAAGTTCTCCATACTCTCAGTCATTCTTCCCTCAAAGTCCATCTTCTACAATCCTTGAGTTCCATGTCCATGTCTAACATTCTCTATTGGGAGATCTACAAGAAGATGATAATGTCTAATTTCTGTTTCATTAAATTCTAGGATGATATTTACCTTTTTCCTTTTATTTTGCTGTTAGTTGCATTTGAACTCATAGCCCTTTAGTTCCCTTTGGCTTTTATGCTCAAGCTTAGCACTCTACCCTTTGTGCCACATCTCTAATTTTGAGGTTGTTGTATGTAGTATCATGAGTCCTATTATTGGGAAGCAGTCTACTTTCTTCAAAGGTGTTTACAAAACTTATGTAAGTAGCACTGAAATGTTATAAATTAGGAAAATAAGTATTTTCATAGAATCTATAATACAAATTGAGTGATTTAATGGAATTTTGTAACACATTTAAAAATAATGAGAAATATTTGAGAATTAGATAAAGATGAGTAATAAAGTTAATTTAGTAAATACTTATTTTATGTTGTAAAATTCAATAAAAGTGACAGAGTCCATTCAGATTTTATGTGGACAGCAATTTTCATATTTTCTGTAAACCAACAATACCTTGTATAACATCAGTCTCTCCTCCCTGGAACTTAACATTTCTATAATTTTTATAGAGCAGGTAGAATTTGGCATATATTCTATCACAACAGAATTGACAAAATACATACATTAAGGGTTAGACGAATGGCTTAGCTGTTAGAGCACTAGCAAATGAGCAAAAGTATCATGTACTGAGTTTGAGTCCCAGTCTTGGAGCTAAAAAAAACAAAACAGAATATACACTTACTATTTCAAATGAAAATTTCAAATGAGTATTGAAAAAAGATGAGTAATATAGATAAAGTAACATTGCGCAACCCCATGTGTAAAAACAGCATTCAGGAGCTCCACATGAACATGTCTCCGTAGCAACAGCTTATGAGGACTTTAGAGACATACTTGAGAATGTCCCAACAGTTCATGAATGTGAACCTCTTGGCTTTGAGTTACTGATCGCAAGGCGAGGCATGCATCAGCATGTCACCGGGGTGTTTACATTGAGCACCTATCATTTTCCCACTGGACATTTTCATTTTACAAAACTAATCTGAAAACCAAAGATTATATTAATGCCTATACATGAAATCATGTTTAAAAAGCAAACATTGTGAATCAAGGAACAAGGTAAAATGAAACAGTGAAAAGAATCTTATTTCCTTGATTTGAAATACCAACCTTACCAATTTCTTCTCTTCCTCAGTTTGATGTAGATGTAGAATAAAACTTTCAGTTCTTTCTGAGAAATATATGTATGTATATGTATGCAAACATACATATATGTGTCTATATATACTTAATGTATATAAGATATTGAGCTTTGACATATATAATTCATTTTCAGGTAGAGTAAGATTACAATCCATTCACTGGAAATATTATATCAGTGATATATATATATACATATATATATGTGTGTATAGATATCTATGTAGGTATATATCTATGTATGTATACACATATATATCAGTACAAATTCATCCACTCGAATCTACCCACCATTCTCCATAGCACCATTCATTGTATCAGAGCTTTTCCACAATCAGCTCATCTTAGGAGCAGCCATGGTGCAAAAGAGCACAGACCCATATCAGGCCCTAAATACAGGCACATAAAGGAGGAAACTCCTTTACTGTATGATCAAGTCCTCAAAGAAGGGATAGCAGTAAGGTTAAATTATTTGGAATTGAAAACCCAAGAAATGAAGATTCTTACAAAGAAGAGGATTAAAAGTCAAGAAATTTCATTGATTGAAAATAAAAGCACAATTCATCTCACCATGAATATCTGACACATTAGCACCTAAGAATATTCCTAGTTCCCCAACTCATATTTTTTTCTCCCTTTCATCCTGAAGTGTCTGAAACTCACCTCATGAAAACTGTTGGTCAGTGTAAAGTATTTGGCTGATTTTAAGAGGTCTCAGAACACTTCTGAAGCAGCTGGGCACCTGTGGTTCACACTTGTACTTCTATCTACTCAGGAGGCTGAGATCTGAGGATCATAGTTCAAAACCAGCCAAGATAGGGAAGTCGTTGAAATTACTATATCCAACTCACCCAAAGGCGAACAGATGGTTCAAGTGACACAGTGCTAGTCTTGAGCAAAAATGTTCAGAGACAGCACCTACGCCCTGAGTTCAAGCCCCAGGACCAGCAAAAATGCAAATAAACATAGAAGCCCTGATTCAATACCAGAAATAATACAAAACATGTAAATATCAATGTGTAAAGCTGCTGGGCTCAGGCCACTCATGCCTGCAGTTCTGAAGATCAATCTTTGAAGCTTACTTTGGCAAAATGAACATGAGACACATCTCCAATTAATGTAAAAGTCAAAAGTAGTAGATACGTGGCTCAAGTGGTAGAGGACTAGGCTTCAGCAAAGCTCAGGTACAGCATCTAGGCAATGAGATCAAGTGCTAACATTGGCATGTTTGACTGATGTACAGAAATCAATGCCAGTTGTAGCAATTGAACTTCATTTCATAATAATGCACACTTAAAGAATCCTCTTAGAAACAAAAAAGTAGGTTTCTATGATACAGTTGTGAAGCTAGTTCATTTGTTGAGAGCTGACAGTAAAGCTCAAAGGTCATCTTGACCCTTGTGCTCACTGGAAGGCACGTACTAGAATAACACCAGGTGCCCAGGATTGCTTTGCTATGTCTGCAGAGTTTGTTTTACTTTCTACCAGTTGACCTTGTCTTGTTTTTACTGCATTCTGTTTTTACTGAAATTTTCCTTGTTTTTCTGGACTATTGTAACCTTATGTTACCTCTTGACTTCTAATAGTATATAATAGAGAAAGTTAAAAATAAATGGGGCTGCAGTCTTAAGCTGCAGACCTCCCAACCCCATCCTTTTTCTTGTGTCTTTTTTTTTCCTCATCCTCGCCCCCTAATTCAGGATTCCCTCTCATTGCCGGCAGGCTCTGGCAATCATTTAGTAGTTCCTCTAAATATAATCATTCCTTAATAATTAGGAATTTGTTTGGTTTAAGGACAGCAGTGTATTCATCTCAAATAAAGTTAGTAAGCTAGGTATGGTTGGTCAGGTTTATAATTCAAAATTTAGTGAAGGAAGACAGGATTTTCACTAGTTTGAGAGCAACACAGGCTACATAGTAAGGCTCTGCATCAGTTTGTATATGGATATATAGAGAGACATATACACACATGCATATCTATACATACACACTTGCACAATCATGCATCTTATATGGTATATATTACTAATATATTACATATTTTATATATACATAAAGTACTTTGGTTTTTTATAAGGAATGTTAATGGCCATGGTTTCTCTGATGATGTCAAACCACAGACTGTGTAGTTTTCTCATATATGTATGTGTGTGTATGTTGCATGTCCCCAACTAATACTGGATATATTATATATATATATGCTTTATGTATTATATATAGTTAATATATAATTAGAATATATGTATGGTCCAAATAGATTGGGACATACTTTATGGCATTTGAAAATTCATCTTATTTTCTATGGTAACATCCATAAAAGGAAAAAACCATGTAGGTACTGGTGGCTTGTGCCTGCAAGGTATTGATGGATTTTGCCTGTAAGCCTAGATACTCAGAAAGCCAAGATCTGAGAATCAAGGAATAGAGCAAGCATAGACCAAAAAGACTACAAGACATTAGCTTCAATTAACTAGCAAAAAGCTGAGTGGGAGGCATGGTTCACATGTCCTTGACCTAGGAGAGAGGAAGCTGAACAAGCACAAAACCTGAGTTCTAGCTCAGGTACTGGCAAAAAAAATAGGCATTAGCCAATTCAGTTTTTAAAAAATCAGCTATCTGGAGAACAAGGAGTGTATAGGTCTTAGTATCATAGAAATTCTCCAGCAGTTGTGGATTAAGTAACCGTGTATGGCCTTTAGATATTTGAATTTTTTAGGGGCTGGGAAGGTGGCTCAGTGGTAGAGCGCTTGCCTTGAGCTGAAGAGCTGAGGGACAGTGCCTAGGCCCAGAGTTCAGGCCCCACGACTGGACCCCCCCCCAAAAAAAAGAAGATATTAGATATTTGAATTTTTTTTAATTTTTTTTTGGGGGGTCAGGTTGTGGGGCCTGAACTCTGGGCCTGGGCGCTGTCCCTCAGCTCTTCAGCTCAAGGCTAGTGCTCTACCACATGAGCCACAGCGCCACTTCCGACTTTTTTCTTTTTGCTTATGTGGTGCTGAGGAATCGAACCCAGGGCCTCAGGCATGCAAGGCAAGTGCTCTACCACTGAGCCACCTTCCCAGCCCTAGATATTTGAATAATTTTATGACGGATTTTTTTTTTGCTAGTCCTGGGGTTTGAACTCAGGGCCTTGGCACTGTCCATGAGCTTCTTTTGCTCCAGACTAGCACTCTACCATTTGAGCCACAGTGCCGCTTCCAGCTTTTTCTGTTTATGTGGTACTGAG